CCCAGGTGTCCCCGGGCCGGGGGGAGAAGGGGCACAGGGAACATCAGTCCCCAGGACTGGTCCATCATCCGCTCCGTGGGGAGCAGAGCCCCAGCCCACGGCGGGGCTGGCTCTGGGTCAACAGCCCAGCACTGTCACACTGCTGCAGGACACCCACCTCTCTGCTGATGAAGACCCCAGGTTGCTCCAAGTTGGCACCTGGCAGCAAAATCCGGGCTCTGGCAGTGCCCTGAACCCACTCCCCTCCATCCCTGGGGAAAGGCTTCCTCTGCAAAGCACCCGGCGGGGCAAGAAGGGCTCATTACTCCAGGAAGGGGTTTGCTAAGATTGCGGAAAAGAGTTTTAGAGAGCAGGCTGTGAAGCTTTGGGTGAGGAAAGCAAGTGGTGATTGTTCTTCTGTTTGAAGCCATCTCCCAGCACGGGTGTCCAGGCTCCGGGCACGGCAGGAGAGGATGTCCCCTCTGCAGGAGAAAAGGCTGGATGGTCCCCTCCAGCCTTCACCAATCTTCTGGCTCTTAAACCAACTCCTCTCTGAAAGTGCCGTGAGATTTTGGAAATAACAGACCAGCCCTTACAGAGTCAGGCTTTAATTCAGCAAGGAACCGAGATCAGCCAACGGCCACGACCCGCACCGCACCGCTCCCTCTTGCTCCGCACATGCAGCCGGGCAGGGGAGAGTTTAATTCATTCTAGCGTATGAAATCCTTGCAGTGAAGACCTAAAGCTTTTGGGAAAAAATAACCCCACCACAGCAGAAACCCCTTAATTCAACTGCAGGTTTTCAATAAAGAGAAATGTCTAAGGGAATTTTGATAACTTGAAGGCAAAGCATATGTTCAGCTGCTGAGCTGAGACAGATAGCACATTTTTTTTGAAGTTTTTTTGGTTTACTTTTATGTAGAAAAGAGAGCAAACAGTGAATCTCACGTAAAAGAAGGAGTCTAAGAAACCAAGCCTTGCAACGGAGAAGGAATGGATCACACCATCAGACTTTTTTGGAGAGGTTGCAGGGTTGTTTCTCAGATAACAGCAGAGATCTCTACTTAAAAACTCATGATAGGGTCCAGCCAAGGGTTGTATCAGAGATTTCTCCTCTTGACATCACACTTCTATATGAATCACACATGAGGCCATCAATATAGCATCTCCGTCTTCTCCAGGGGACTGGAGGCAGCAGGACCCCATGACCTGAAAAGTTTTCTCTGGACTGATGAGCAAGGAAAAGGAAAGGGCTGGCACAAAGGATGGGCCAGGCTGGCTCACGCAAGCATGGCTGTAAGAGGAAAGGAGGAGCTGTGCCAGCTCTGCCCCGCACCAACGCGGGTCTCCCGTGGGTCCCCCTGCCACGGGACCGCCTGTGCTGGTGGCATTTACTTCCCAGGCAGCACCTGAGCTCATTGCTAACCCACACTGAAAAAGCCAGGATCAGTCACGCAATTCGGGATTCTCTTTTTCTACTTGCTAGGGGTTTTTTTTTAGCTTTTCATACAACTTCCAGCTTATCCTTATGACCATAATAGCCTAAATTTCAGAAGCAGATAAGCAGCATAGAGTACAGGAGTGAAAAGAAGCTGAGATTGTGTTACAATCTACTCATTTCAGCTGTGGACATTGCCAGAAAGCACCAAGAGCACAAAATAAAAGGCACGGGGAAAAAAAAAGGCACAGGATTCAGCAACAGAAGCATGCCAAAGTGCCATGTCCCACAGGAGGTCTGGTGAGCTGCATCTCACCGTGTCCTGCTTCTAGTGCAGACGCCTTGCTGCACTGACACCGCCGCAGCCCCTCGTAGCTTTCAGCTGCTCAAAAGTTAGTTGAGGTCCTTTGGTTCTATTTTTTCATTTGAGAGTTCCTCAGCCCCATGGGATCCATAAGAAATACCTGTGCAGAGTGCTAGTCAAATGTTGGTCCTGATGATCCTGAGCTTTGGGCTCCCGTCCTCTGGTCCCCCAGGGCTGTCCTCCAGCCCGGGGGTGGGATGCAGGGGGTACAGCCAAGCGACTCCTTCCTTTCTAACCGGTGGTACTGGCGCAGCAAACAAAACACACTGTTTCCAGGATAACAGCAGGTTTTATTTCCTCCCTGATTCTTCCCCACACATTTTCCCCCACTTGCATCATTGTATTGCAGCCTTTTGAAACACATCAGCAGAAAAAGGAAAAAAAATTGGATTAAAAAGTATCTCCAAAACCAGACGAATCCACTCGTTAATTATATTCCCCCTCTCTCCCAAAGCATGAGCAAGATCCCTTCCAAAGCACCCAAGGCACTTTTCCCGATCGTCATTTACAGCGACAAAAATCAGGATGTTCATGCAGAGCTTGAGGCATCCAGGCCAACCTTGGACAGCAGAAAGAAGAGCCCCCAACTGCTAGAGGGCTCAAATGCTCTTTAGAAAGTATTTCTTTAAAAACAGACAATAATTTGCCAAAGATTTAGTTGCACAGTGATTTTCAGATTAAATTTTAAGTTGTATTTAAGTTGTATTCAGCTACGAGTGCACGGTCTGGGTGTCATGCTTTGCCTCCAGCGTGGCTGGGAGAGGAGCACGCCCAGCCTACCTCAGCACCTCCAGCCTGGCTTGAGAAGTACCAGCACAGCAGCAGGTTTTTTGGATGCTTCCCTTCACATTCCAGTCCAGCCTGACTCTGATTAATTAATGGAGTCTGCTGAAATCCCAGTCTTAGCTACTCCGGCTGCTCTCTAGCTACAGCTACCTGCACAGCTGTCTTCCACTCGCACTTGAGAGACTTTGTATTTACCAAGTATTAATTAGATGAATGTGAAGCACCGTTTTCTAGGCAGGGGAAATGATCTGCTCTCTCTCTGCCCTGTAACAAGCTCATATTGGGACAAGTCTGAAAAGGGAGCAGGTAGAAGTGGCTCCTTCTTGCTCTGCACATCTGCTGCTTTTCATATCTCACTGCTTTTGCCACCACCGTTGACGAGCAATTCACTCCTGCTAGACCTGAAAAGGCAACAGCCTTGTGGAAGGAGGAGCTGGAGTCTCTCTGCCTTTGCATATTACCACCAGAGCTGATCCCAAGACTGTCTTGACAGTCAGACCCACCAAATGGAAAGAGCTGCTGTCTCAGAGGGCTCCTCCAAGTGCCAGGAGCTGCTGAACAAGTGACTTGGCCAGTAGAGCGCAGGCAACTAATCCTCCCCCTCCAGAAGCCCTCAAGACCAGGCTGGACAGATGTTTGTCAGACAACCCTGCCCAGGAGAAAAGAAGGGGATGGGGTGTCCACCCCAAGATCTCTCTTACGCCTGAAGTGCCACCGTTTCATGGAAAACATGAAAAGCACAACTCTGTTCCTCCTGGTGGCAACATCGGCAGTTGACACCAGTAATTGCAGCATGAAGGGCTTCAAGCAAATACCCGTCTGGAAAAAACTCACCAGGCCACGATGTCCTTTTGCCCCCGGAGCTGAAGGAATGTCATGGAAGGCTGAAGGCTGCAAAGGAGAGCGAGCATCAATGGTAAACAACTGATCAGCTAAATTTAGGAAGGCAGATCGGGAGCTCTCCATGACCAGTTGGGTGTCTTCAGTTCAGACCACTGTGTCAACTAAAAACATTTAGCTATGACAGTGATGGGCTTTATAGAGAACTGCAAGATAAATGAAGGGAAAAGGTTACCTAATAATTACAGTCACTGTTTCACATCCAGCTGCATCCACTGCTCAGCGTGACCTTTGGGGAACAATGAATAATGCACCGTTCTGGTGAATAGTCACCCTTCCTTGATAGACCATCAGCACGCTGGTAAAAGAGAGCACGGTGGCTTCTCCTGTTCGTCCTTTACTCACTGTCAGGCTCAATTTCTTCATGAAAGAGGACCAGGAAAGTCAGAAAAATATCGTACCTGTTCCAAAATAGTTTCCACTAATTTCACATCACTAAACTCCACAAACCATTGGTGCTCCAGCCCTGCTGCAGGGGCTGCAGCTGAGCAAAGCTGGGGTGAAACGCTGGGTCAGACTGATCTTTCTGTCTTGGGACACCAAAAGGCAACCAGTCTCCAGCACAAGCGGTTCAAGCTGCTGATCCCCGAGACATCCAGAAACAGAAATAACAAAGCCAGGCAGAGCTGGACCTGGATCCCGTTTCCAGCTTGGCCGCTTTCACACTGTGCATGGACGAGTCATGCCTTGTCCCTGAGCTTCACGTTCACCCCCTGTAAAACAGGGCAATAGTGATTCAAGGCTGGAATCAGAGCGGGGAGGTGTGAGCGGGTGTTGGGGCCATGCTGCATTGTAGCAAACAGCTACTGAGCTCTGCAGCTGGTCACGAAGAGCCAAGAAGCGAGCAGAGAGGGCTTTCTGGTGAGGCCTTCAGGGGTGTAGGGGAACCCAACCCCGTGCACGGGGATGCAGTAGTTTTCAAAGCTGTAAAATCAATTGCAATCTGCCTGCTCTGCAGCGTTGCTTGTTCCAGACATATCTCATCTTTAGCCTAGCCCATTTCACATATCCAGGTCCTCATCCAAAACGCAGAGCCTTGTTGTAGACTTCCACCGGCTTCGGATCAGGTCCTACCAAAGCATCCCCAGCAGGCACCAAACCCCGCGACCAGCTCTCAACCTGGCTCACGGCATAGGGTCTCAGTGCGACAGGGGAGCGGAGGCTCAGGGCAGGAGGGTGCTGCGCTGAGAGGCAGCACCACGGGCAAGAAACAAATGCTCTGCAGCAGAATGAGGGGGGGCCGGAGCTCACGGTACCAAGGGGCTCATTGCTGACATACGGATTTGGGAATCTGCCAGAGGTCAGACCCTGTTTAGGTGCCAGAAAGCTGTTTTGTTCACTGGCTACTAACAAGGCGATTGTTCTGGCAAAATTCAAAGCAAACCTCTGCACCTGACCAGCTAAAGCACAGGGACAAAGATCAAAAGGTCTATTCAAAATCAGGACAGCAGAAGGGGACGGTCTCACCGACAGCTCTCCCCCAGCACTTGCTAGTGTTCACGCATTATGATATGAATGATAAATAGCTGGACGTCACGGGGAGTTTGTGCTTTCCCCCAGCTTGCCAAGGAGATGCGTGACCAATCTCTGCAGGGCTTCAGCCCGGACCACCGAGATGCGCAGAACTTCCTCGTGGTTGGCTTTCTCTTGACTGTTGTAGCTCATCACCACTTTGTTGGTGATGAGGGAGATCCCAAGGACTCGGAGGCCACAATGCCTGGCTACAATTACTTCTGGGACAGTGCTCATGCCTATGGTGGGAGAGAAAAGGACCAGGATAAGTCAGGATTTCCCCAAAATAAGATCTCTCCAAGGCTGCAAACCATGATGCTACCTTCAGCACGTGTCCTTGTCTCGTTCCCCCACAGCTCTCTATTTCTGAGCCATGTAATAGTTAAAGGCTGCAATACTTGTAAGGCTGTAATAGTTGTAGCACTACATTTACAACCCTGCTCAGCACAATAAACCACCCGCATTCGATTCCTGCACGCTACGTCTCTCTCCCCAAGACGTGTCAGACTGCTTGCAGCCTTGCTAAGAGAAGTACTGATGTGCTGTGTCATTTCGCTCTTCTCTTCCTCGGCTAAAAAAGCTATCGCAAAGAAAAATGGCTTTGGGGGAAGCTGCGCTCCTTTCCTCACACAATGAATCTGCAGATATTAATGAACAGACTTCCATGAGCTGCTTCAGTGACGCAGGGGTCAAGCTGGAGGAATGATATGGATAATAACGCTTACCTTCCTCATATGAATTAGGAAGATTTCTATAATTACCATCTCTAACCAACCAAGACTCTTGCGGAGAGCTGCTTTGTAGGGAAGAGGCACAGTGAAAATCCTTGGTGTCAGAATTTAAAAAAATAGAAAAAAGGACTTTATTTCTGAGTGGGCCCAACTCAGGCCTGCTGAAGTCAAGCCATCTGAGCATGGGAGATTTGTGTTTGGGAATAAACACAAAATTGTGCTGGGAACCCTGTCCTGGGCAGCCATAAACACACAGACTCTCTGCAGATCCATCCTAAGAGCTGCACTAAGCCACTGCAGAACTAAGCAGAAACACCCAGAGCTCATTTCTCTAGGCTCAGGAAACTTAAGACGGAGAGTCAAAGACTGAAGAAAGTCAGCCTTGAGCAGAATGAACTGTTTAATCCATGTACCCGACCGACCCTACCAGCCCAGGCAGCTTACCTACAGCATCCGCTCCCAGCGCCTGCAGCACGCGGCACTCGGCAATGGTTTCATAGCAGGGACCGGCCAGCAGACAGTACACTCCTTCTCGGACGAAGCTCAGAAAGCCCAGCTCCTGGGCGCTCTCCATCGCCAGGCCGAGCAGCTCTTGTTCATACGCATCTGACATGCAGGGAAACCTCACTCCAAACCTGCAAGGCAGCAAAGGGCAGAGCCACGCTGATATTGCTAGTGCTACCTTCCCTCCATTGGGTCAGTGATGCTCACCCTTGGGGGAAAAGGGAAATGTTAAGGGCAGACCTGCCACGGATGCAATCTCTCTCATCCCAGCCTCATCATGCAGTCCTGCTAGATCTAATGGCGCGAGACGCTCAGCACGTAGAGGTCACGGCTATTGGAAGGTTTGGCACCACGTTCCTACCACACGAACCCTTCAGGAATGGTCTTTCCAAGGACTCCTGTCTCCAGAGAGCGCTGATGGTCAATTATCTCTCTCCCCAATAACTGCCCATGGTGGCTTTTAAAGATTGTCCATCAGACAGCTGCTGCCCTTTGCTTCTCCTGCACGACGGCTTGCAGAGAGGCTCCCTGTGGCACTGAGTCCCAAAGGCTGTCCCAGTGAGGGGGTTTGAGCCGGGCCTGATGGAGCATCGGTCACTACATTTAAGGCTCATCGCAGCAGGCAGCTACTAAACCAGGCTCATGATGAGGGATGCCCTGTACCACAACAGCGAGGGCTGTCCTGTCACCGCACTAACATCCACATGCTTGAAACAGAAACAGAGTTGGATGCACTGGACAAATCACATGAGATTTGAGTCTTTCCCCTTTACTGGCTAGTTTGAAGGGCCTCAAGGAATGACTTCCTTTGGAACAAAGCTTGCTAGTCAGAAAATACATCCCAGGAAAGAGCATCCAGATCTGCATTTGGTTCCTGGCACGGCAAGATCACACCAAGTACAAGGTTGGAGACTGTTCTAGGACAGAAGGGCAATCCAATTGCCCATTTGAGACGCCCCAGTAGGTTCTGCCTGCCCCTCAGCTGCCTCTCCAGAGCATGCACGCATCCTGTAAGTCTTACATTGCACCTGCCAGCCCCAGAGAATGGGGATTGGATCCTGAGCAGAGTGTCAGATGGTATTAGACGTCTACATTTAGGCAACGGCATGCCATTCAAGGTGTCCTCCCTTGCAGGGAAATGGGGAGAGTAGCATATGTTGGAGCTCCAGGGCCATATTTTAGGTAGCCTTCATCCTGTGCTTCAAGACTGGGTCTCTTGCTTGCTTTGGGTCTCAAGAGAACGGCTCAGTCCTGCTCCTGACTGAGCAAATCCTACTACTGACTCAAGGAGAGTAGGAGCAGATGGCAAAGACTGGTGTGAGGAAAGCTGGAAAATAAACTCCCAGCCGTGTTCACCAACTCAGTTCAGTAGAAGTGGACCAGGTTCCTCATCTAGGCTATTAAAGCTCCTGCTTGTTTACATGTTCTTCCAGCTGAATGTTTAGGGTAGTATGTGGCTTATTTTATGTTTATAAACACTAAAATATTATATAAACAAAACCCAAACTTTCCCATCTAGCCTAAGGTAATAAGTATTCATCACCACGAAAATTGCTTCTCTTTCCTGAAGGATGGCCAGCAATGCAGAAGCCAACCTCTAATTTAATAAATTCAGTCCTCAGATTCTTGCAGCATATTCCCTTTCTGCATCACTTCATTGCCTCTAGTTTTACTCTGTTGTGCTTAGATAAATCCTTCCTGGTGGTTGAGCTGGACTGGATTTTAGGAGGAGTTTGCTCAGCTAAAGCTCTGCAATACTTTGAAAGCTGATTCATAAAGACCTTTTGCCCATCTTGATGCCTTGGTCAGCAGTACAAAAGTCACCTCCCAGAGCACTGCACCGGGAAGCTGCTCTTGGGAGGCAATGGGACAGCTATGCTGCCTTTGAACGTTGTCCAAATGCAGTTACTGTTTAGTTGGCGTTTCTCCTCCTGTTCCTGAGCGATTATGCAAGTCCAGAGAGCTTTAAACACTCCTCCCTTGTGGCTTCTGTGCTTTTGATCATTCTTTCCTCTAATCCACTCCAATACCTATGAAGATATAAAGATGTTCCACCTCAGATGGGTACTGTCCTCTTGCCATTTGAATCGCAGAACAGCGTTTATTTCTCCTGAAGTAGTTGCTAGCACCTTTCCGATTTCTTCAGAAGCAGGAGCCAGGTCTGGCGTTACATCAGGAAGGAACTAACTGTAACTGGAAGCCAGGCGGACCACCTTATTCTCAGCCAGAACTTTCTTTTTGGGAAGATCCCAGGACAGTCCAGGTGCCTGCCCTGCACACATGTCCTTTTTCCAAGATGAAGGTACCAAGCCAATGATGAATTTAACAATCTCGTTATCTAAACTCACTCTTTGCTCATAAGCTACCACCTCCTTCACCGCCTCCGTTGCTTGTCCTCTGGCTTCACACACCTGCCTTTCATCTGGCTTCTCTCCTGCCAGCTTGGTTAGGAAATAATTCTTGCTACTGTTATCTCTTTATCACAATCCAGCCTCTCTTTCCTGCCATAAGGTTCTGACAGCCCTGGACCTTTACTGCTTTCATGTTGACTTTCCTGACACCTGATGTGCTCTCCTTTGCTCAGCCTGAATCTCCAGTGGATGTGTCCTCACGCTTTTTTAGCCACATTTGAGAGCCAAAGGGCTTCCTTTTGTAAACACTGGCCCATCTGGCATGTCTCCTCTCAGTGCTATGACCTTGCTGGTGCTGGTTGCCTTCCACCCTATTGATCTGGTGGTGCCTTGGAAGGGTTTTAGGATCACAGATTAATTCAGGTTGGAAGGGACCTCAAGAGGTCATCTAGTCCATCCTCCTGCTCAGCGCCACTCTATGTCTGGTGGCAACTGCAGTCCAGGGGTGAAGCACAAGCTCCTCTGTGCACCGTCCACAGGTTAAGAATCCTGCTACACACCAAGTATAGGAAACCTGATTTCCCAGCTCAACCAGCAGCAGGTCACTCTTGTAGACCTAGAGGTCTCCCAAGAGGCTGCCAAGACAACCGCCTCTCAACAGACCGATGCCTTCAGTGAATACATGATGTAAACAAAGACACTCCAGTTTAACAACCTGGATACAAGGTGGTTACCAGGAGATTTTGAGGTTTTATTTTTGCTCTGCTATCAACTTACTGCCTGGCCTCTGTCGTATCAGTTCCATCACACCAGAAACGGCTGTTGATAAACGCAGGCTGGAGACACTTCAGCTCACCAGATTGCTCAATTAAGAGGAACTAGCAGAGAGAGGGACTGACAAGAAGAGACAGCAGCGGGTCTCTTCAGCAGACAGTATGGCTGGCCATGTCAGGAGAAGGATCAGAAGCCTACTTTTATAAAACAAAACCTTCTGGAGGTAGGTATAAAATCCTTATAGGCTTATAAGAATAAGCAAGCACCAAGGTGCTTGGGGAAGGCGGGGCAGGTGGCACAGCACACAGCTATTGCTTTAGCTTTTCCCTTGTGGGTACCTGGAGCTAAACTCTACCTCTCAGTAAATATTTGCCAGCAGGGGCAACTGGCAGTCCTAGCCTGGCTGGAGGAAGAAAGGATTAATTGGTAACATGGCGCTGATGCCTTCTCACCTCTCATCGTTTGGTCCACGGAGCGGATTCTGCCCTCCTAAGCCAAACATGCTGATGTGATCTCTTATGAACATGATGTCTCCCACTTGGAAGTGGGGATTCAGTCCCCCAGCAGCGTTTGTGACAATCAAGATCTCCACCCCCAGGAGAAAGAAGACCCTGATGGGGAAGGTGACCTGCAAGAACCAAAGGCATATATGCAATGAGTATCGCAGTTCGTAGACAGCTACTACTGCTACATTTGTAGTATCGCAATTTGTGGACAGCTTACATGATGCAGAGAAGGGTCTATATGAGGCTACAGGGAGACAAAACAAATTTTTCTCCAATTTTAAATTTTCCTCTAATTTAAATAGAAAGAATTTTAATGTTTTTTAAACATATTAAAAACTAATCTTGAAATGAGTACCATCAAAATTCAAGCCCACATTTCCTACAGTTGCACTAAGGTCAAATAAATGCGGTACAAAGAATATGCAGATAATTCTTCCTCGCTGCCAAGGTCTTGCAGAGATCAAACCACTGGGCTGATTGAAGTAACTACTTATGCACATGGACTTGGAGTGTAATTGATAAACCAGCTTTTTACAGCAATGATGCCTTTCACAGAACCATAGAGATTATTTTATTCACTTCATTTTATTCAAGTTAGTTCACTTCAATGACCTGCTTATCTAAAGTTAAGGAACAACTGGGAACTAGCAAAAAATTTTTTTCGAAGTTTGATTTTGAGGAGTCAGGAAGGAATTGGGATGGTATCTGCTACCTCTAAAATGCTGAAGACGCCCAGAGCAGAAAATTTCCTAACTACGGACATCACTTCTTTAAGAAATGAGTTCATTTTAATAGACAAACATGTTTTGGTAAACCCAGTTTTGTATCAAGTGCATTTAAAACAGTTTTGTTCTATAAAAAGTTGAGTGGTACCAAGTATTGCAGTTTATATCCAAAAGCAAACTGACTTCAGCCACAAGTAAAATATCAAAGCTATCCAAATAAAAAAGAACACACATAACTATCAGCCAGTAAATAAATATTATTGGTATTTTCTAACAGGAATGTACACACATACATGTTAGGTAATATAAATACAAATATTCACATACTTCCATGTATTACCTGGGAGAGTATACCAAGTTACTCTAGCCAGGGAGTTTTTTCTAGGGAAAAAAAGCTGTAAGCTATAAAAATGCAAAAGAAGATTAAAACAGATTGTTCTCATCACTCAAAGTTTCCTGGTTGCTGATTTAAATCATAATTAAAATGACTGAGTTAAAGCATGTAAATTGATCTGCCTTGTATGATACACTATTTTGCCCTGCAAGTGGCTTCCCACTTTGTGTGGCTGCGCAGCATCAGCTTCACCTAGCAGAAGCTGACGACCTCTCGGTTTGAATTCCCAATTTTATTTTTTGGGGAGAAATCTAAAATCTAAGCAAGATTCATTGCAAAAGCAATGCAAGTTCATTGCAGGAGCTAACCTCCTGCAGCTGGATATCAAAGCAAGCCGTCACTTTTGCATCTTTTACAGCGTATCTCTCCCTACGTGAATGATTTCTTTACAGAGAACTCACCGCGCTGACAGAGTATCCTTCATAGCAGTGGAAGCGTCCCTGCATGCACACGCAGGGCTGTCCGTTCAGCTCCCCAAACACCAACCTGCCAACGTGCCCTGCAACTGGAAATTAAGAGAGTATTATTTTAGTTACGGGTCTCGAGGTCTTTGACTTTAGAGGGATTTGTCAGTTGATGATTTTGCATTACAGCGGGGCCAAGCGCTGCGAAACGGGGAGCTAAAAGTTAAATAAATACCATAGCGCAGAAATATGTAGGTTTTTTTTACTGTGAACACACATTTCGCCACCGAGGGACTGCTTTGCAGACCAACGCCAAGTGGTGCACGTTGACTTGAGTTATCTCACTGTAAGGCTGTTGCCGGCTGCCGATGGATGGGTTGCTGACACCCCGGGCTGCGCTAACCTGTGCTCCGTGGGAAATGAGGGATGTCCTCATACAGAAAGACTGTCTTGTTATCCAACACATCGGCCAGGCCTCCCAGTCCAGATCCGCAGATGATGGCAGTCTTTGGGCGCTGGACGGTACGGGTGCGTAACCAATCTGCTGTTTCCTTACACACCTCGTAGCTATTTCTGCAAAAGGAGAACAGGTCGGTGAGAACCGACCAAAGAACAAGCTTCACAGGATAAAAGTCCTGAAAAGGTGCAAGGAAAAAAAATTCATTAAGACTAAAATAATAGGAGCTTCACTGAAGTTTCCTGAAGTGAAACATTGAAGATGTTTCACTTTTAATCTCATATTTTAGTCCTGGCCAGAGGCAAATCATTTTAATCCTCTTTGCCAGTTTCATTCTACAGTGGAAGAATGGCTAATGATACCCAGATCACGGAAATGTCACAAGGCATAACCACTCCTGCTTCTGATGGGCTCTGGTCTCTCCTGAGTTACCGAAGGAATGCAAAAGCACAGTTAGGCTGAGAAATTGCAGCCTATATGTGTATGCACAGGGATGTCCAACCTGTGATGGGGAAATATAAGAGGATGGAAGTCCAAGGACACCTGGAGGGCACGGCTGGGATGCTGTGCTGATGAAGGAGTAGACACTGTCCTCCACAGTAGGGCAATGGGGCAAGCATCATCTACAGAGATGGAGAACACAATCTTCGTAAGTGTTGAGTGCCATCAGCTCCCATCAGTGCTTCCTTCTGGGGCTGGTAACACACCTCAAACATCCGCCTTCTCCATACCTTGTGGTTTCAGTACAGGAGGCTAAACATGGAGATCTCATTCACCCTCTCCTCTCCCACAGCGTGGGCAGTGGGTCACACCTGCAGTCTAGTCCTAGGCAAGAGGCCCAATGACACCAGTCTATGTCAAAACAGAAATTAAAATGAGGAATTTGGGCTCCCGGGCTTATGCTGTCTGATTTAAGAGGGGGACTGCTCAAATAGCGTGGCAAAAAATACACACGTTGCTAGAAGGTGGGATAGAGGTTGGCATTATACTGCCTGTTGTGTACCTGTCTCATGGGAAGAGAGAGAATTTCAATTTTTAGGCCTGTCAGTCCAGTATTCATCAGATGCATTAATCAGATGCATTAAATTGTGTTTTGAAACACAATCAATAGCAGAATAATCTCATAATCCTGTTTCCAATAGGACAATGCAGATATCTTTTGAAAGTCAATATCAAGGTTGATTGCAAGCCCTCTTCAAAAGCAAAAGTACTGATAGCATTTCTTGGTGGCAACTTAATCGTTACCACTGATGAGTAAAATTAATGACTGTATATGGTAGAGGACTGGGTCTCAGAGTGAACCAACACAGGCAGGGGCAGCAAGTTCTCTATATGGAAAGCTGATCTGCTTATTAAGGGGTGAGAGAATCAGATACTGCGAGGTTGAAGGTGATGTAAAATTGACTGGAGATGCTGATAAGCAGTCACTGTCTGCTTCATGAACGTTTCTTTTTATGAACCAAGTCTCTTTCCAGAGGTGCAAACCTCAGTCACGTTGTGATTCTGCTGTCTGCAGCCTTAGAGGACATACAGAAAAGCTTTCAAAGTGGTGCTCTACGCTCCAGGTCGTACCAGGCCATTGATGAACAGGATTTGATTGTCAGTGTACAACTGGTTCCTCTAACTGGACTATCAGATATTCAAATAAAGGATCTCAAATCTATGTTTTTTCTTTCTTTAACTGACAAGATAGGTAGTTACTGCACAGGTATCTTCTGCGATAGCTGTCCAGCTCTTGCTGTAATTCCTGTCCAATGTCTGATACATCAAACTTACGTTCCTAGAGCCAAACTATGACGTCAAAAATACCTGAGTATGTCATAAACCTGCAATCCAACGAGAAGAAATAACTTCCACATTAATGAATTAAAACAAAGAGTCATTTAGCTGAAATACTTTTCAAAGGAGAAGTCTGGAAATGAGAAAGAGTTTATTTACCATAACATATTGTTGAATTTTCCAAGTGTATCATCAGCTCCTGAAATAAGCAAAAGCTATGGAAGTGACATTAATGAAGCCTACACTTGACTGACTATATTATCCCTTGCTCCCAGAGATAAGCTTTAGAAGTGCTTTACATACATTAATGAATGATTCCCCCCCAATTTCTCTGTTGAATAACTGTAATCCTTGTTTAGACATTAGAGGAAACCAAGAGAATTTAAATGTAATACCCAAGCTTTTGACGTACCTGTGGCAGGCATGAGAAAAGAACGAGGTCACCAAGATCTGCTCTTCCACTTGACCACTAATCCCCTTTCTTTGGTATTTTTTTTAAAAAAGTGCATACACCCTTGCAAAATAAATTAAGAAACGGATATTATTCACATATTCCCAGAAAATTTAGGAGCGTGGGATGAATCTGATTCCATGCCTGCTGAAGACCCTGGGATTGACTGAGCTGTGCTAATTTTGAGGGAATTTTTTTCCTTCTAAACAGAAGACGTTAAAATATTTCTTATCCAAAGAAGTAAAACTCCAGTGCTGCGTAACTGTCCTTGCCCGAAAGGAGCTTCAGCAGGTGCGCAGGGGCCTTGCAGAGCCCTCTCCATCCCAAAGGCTTTGGACACGCCAGAGCTGTCCCCAGTGATGCCAAAATTAATCTGCAGAGCGCTGCTTGCGATACTTCGTTTTCAGAAATCTTCTGGATGCACAGCATCAAAGGGGACCGGCAGGCAGGGATAATTTCTGAATACAAAGGAGATACCTGCTCAGCGGGAGTGGAGGGGGAGTTTGACCTACGGGTCACCAAATGCAACGTTTAGCCTGGAACTGCATGAGTCCGGGGTCTGTGCAAGCTTTTTGACAGCCTGAATTAATACATGTCGCACAAAGCCCCCTATAGCTACTCCGTCTCCAACAATGCACACCTAATAATAGTGCTCAGTAGCATCGCTTTGGATTAAATCACAGGATCAGCTGAAAACACAATCCCCTTTATTGTGATTGCTGTCATCCGCTGGAGAAATGCATCTGTTGCAAAACACTGGACTGCCACCGATGACAGATCTTTTATGGCATGAGAAAACCCCCACTCTCATTGTGCTTCTAGGTTGGTTGAAAGCAAATCCATGTAAAAAGCAGACATAGCCCAATAAACAGATAAAGCATTACGTTGCAGAGGGGCATACTGCCATATGTATTTGCAGCGTATGCCTCTCCACACCACGATATTTGCCTCTTCTGGCCCATAACCTCTCCCAAGGTCACCTGCTCGTTGCCATATTTCATAATACCAGCACCTGACACAGGCAGATGGCCAGATTCCTCTTCAATAACAAGATGTTTACTTCCGAACAGCGCTTGCCTGACGTTTATTGAGTGCCCAATAAGAAGAGGAAAACAAGGCGAGGAAAAATGATGCAATTTGGCTAGCCCCTTCCAGCTTGGATGTCTGTGCATCCCCTATTTCACAGCACCTTACCTGTCTTCCTCAGCAAAGGCCATCCTCCTCCTCTCTGCTTAACCGAAAGAAGGGGATGGTTGCTGGAAATGGAGCTGCAGGGTTTTATTTGACCAGAGAGCAGAGGCCCATTGAACCTGCAGAAGCTGCTGCCGTCTCTGGCGGTGAGTCAGGGAGGTGTGTCCCAGCTTCTCTCTGCTTTCCCCTGAGCATCTCTAATCCCCGAGTAGGAGGGGCATGTTCAGGATATCTGCTTTTCTGGTCTCACCCCCATGACACACATGCTCTAGAGCTTTGCGGAAAGCTTACACACACGCACACACACTTTACAATGCAGATTAAGCCTAGAAAGTTCACACGTGCGCACACAACTTTTCAGGAGCCTCCCAGAGAGGAGCAGCTGACAACGGATCTGCATAGATCTGCACGCTCTTGCATCAACCGGGAACCAGCGAGCAGCTGGAGTCACCCGCTCCTTTCCAATTCAAACCCCTGGGAGCGTGGCATGAGCTCACGGGGAGCGTGCAGACTCTGCAAGACCTACTACTGCAACAAGCAACGAGATTTTTCCATGTCCCACATCATTCTCTTCCCAGTCTTTCATGGCAACCAGGGGCAATGTCCCATTAGCTCCCCCAGTTTTTTTGTTCACGTTTAACTGTCTCACCCATCTCAAAAGGAAATACTGACTTCAGATATGCTAAACCTCTGTTCAGCTGATTACATTATGGAAAACAGGAAAAAATCAGGGGCCCCACCATCTGCCCCTCTAATTTTAGCTTTGTTTTATATGGAAATAAAGCTTAAAACAACCTTGTCATACGTGTCTGTGCAACACTGTCTGATCCCGACAACTGATGTGAACCACATTTTACAGAGCCATAGATGTTTCCAAGACAATCAAATGCCAAAAAATTCATGAAAATTGGTGATGAGTAGAGACTTTATGTGCCCCAGGTGGAAGGCTACAGCTACAATAGGCACTCATAGCTTACTAGATTCAGAAAGGCCACACGGGAATAGAATTTATAAATATCCCAAGAAGGGAGTTCTTGGGAAGTTCTTGATCTTCTCCCTTTCTTTCTCATATTCACATTTCCACTTCTTATTTACTTTCTCTTAGAAAACTTAGAATGCCTCTTCTACAAAGATCAGTGGGTACGCGTGCTGCTGCTGCAGGACCCAGTGGTACGTTGCTGCACTGGCATGGTGCACCCTGCTCCCAGTTTGCTGGGGGCAATGGAAAGTCAGCATTAAGGACCTAATATCACTCTATATCATCTTCCCTTCTATCCCCTCTTTCTCATTCTGTTTTTACCATGTTCCCCCTCCTTTTTCAGATATACCTGCTTTTTGTCATTCTCTCTCATTCTTGTCTTTCTGAACCTTAGCCATCTCTGTCTCTGCCTCTTCGGTGTATATTCTTCTTTCCCTTCAGCATCGTTTTTCTATACAAAACACAGTAGGCTGATAGCAGAGATGGTTTCAGGTAGATTCAACTTCATCAAACCCTGTGTCTAAAAAGGCCCCACGCTGCTTGCCTTCCTCCACAAGCCAATGTGCCAAAGGATTCTGCAAGTCACTGTCACCCCAAGCAACACCTGCCTAAAGCCAGGGTCTTAGAGCCGCTTCCCAGCTCCCTCAAGTCTTTTTGCCCTCTGGAAATCCATGCTCCTCTTGCCAGCACTCAGGACTTCTTTGAAAGTCATTATG